AGTAGAGTAGGTTAATATGACTAATTTTCAAACAATTTGGATTAGCTTACCTAAATGCTTTATTATTGTTTTTATTTAAAACTAACAGTTCTAAAAACAATTTTCTTAGAGGAACAGATTTTAGCGTTGTACTGGATATAAATGCTTTTTTTAAACATTTACTCCAGAAAAACCAAACACACAAGATTGTTGATGTTTTTTTGAAAAATTTTTTTTTTCAAATGGTTTACTGTTACAATTCTTATGAAAAATACTATTATACAAAGCATGCAGATTTTGCTAGCCTGTTAAAACAGGTTTCTGACTGTGTCAACTATGTGTGGTAATACTTTGTTGTGAAGCGATTAACATTACGTATGGTTAGAGATTAATAAGAAAACAAATCGCTAAAATTATTTACTAAAATCTTTATTTATATCATTGCTTTGTTATATTCTATTTGAAATTATTCATTAAATTTATTGAAAAGTGGCTTTATACTTAAAACCAAGCTTTTAGATTTTTTTTTTTTTTTTAATTAAACCATATCAATGAAAAGTTACAAATCTTGTCGTGATTTATTAGAATTTGGTTAGGTGTCACTCATATATTGATAGGTTAGGTGTCACTCATACATTGTTATTGCCTAGTTGTTACTTTGTAACAAGTAGGCAATGACAATATATGAGTCAAATATGAGAATACGTAAGTTTTTCTAAAAGTTTGCTGACATATAATAATAATATAACAATGAAATTGGTTTGTAGTTATAACATTCAAGCTTTGAGTCTTTTTTATGAATTGAAGTAATAATAGAAGAAGTTTTAAAAATATCAGGGAATGCACCGGTGATGAATTACAGATTAAATAGTTCAGAAATTACAGAAGAGATATTATTTGCAAGAGTTTTAAAAATCGACATTGGAATGCTGTTAGGTCCCGAAGCTTTGCTGTCATTAAGTGAATGAATAACAGATAATACTTTTTGTCTGTAGGTGTTATGAATATTGATTTAAGATTAGGATTCTTAAAATATTTATTAAAGTCCGCATTGAAAGATTGACTCTTTTTCTGTAATTTTTCTGTAGTTTCTATATTTGATTATGTTGAACTAAGTCGATATTATTGTTAACTAATATAAGTGAACCACCACCTTTACTGTTTCGGACATGTCAAAAAACTTTAAAATTTAACTTTTAAATTTATTCCATTTAACAATAATGAACCAGGTGTTTTTTATTTAGCCAAGTTTCGGTTATGAATATGATGTCAAAAATGTTGTTTTCAAGAAGATTGTTTAGATGATCGGTTGTTAGGGGAATAGGCGTTTAGTTTATTATTTACTATTTTAGCATTAAAGTAAGCACATGTAATGGTTTTAAAAAGTTGATTTTGTAAGATGGTAGGTAAACAATTGGTGTTGGTGTTAAAGTTATTTTGCCGGATGCCTGTCGTTAAATAAAATGGTAAATGCTATTTCTTTAGTTTAACTACCTTATTATTTCTAATACACTAGGAAAAATCTCTATTTGATTTAGTTTTGTTTTTTTTCTTTGCACTGTTCTTTTAATTTTTTTGAATTACATCTTTCAGCTTGAATTTGATCGGGATTGATGCATACTTTGTCATATTTTTTAAGTCTCTTAATTCTTTAGATTTTCTTAATATTATATTTCTTTCAGCTTTATTCTTTAGCACTATTATAACTGGAGCATTGCTAATATTGTCAGGCTTCAACTCGAATCTGCTTTTGTGAATACAGTTAGCCTATTAATAATAATATTATTCACTCTTTTCGCTCTCTTTTGTTTCATTTGTTACGGAGTTGATAATCTTGATTTAATCACTTGATTTAGTATTTTTTTATCAAAAAATTTGCTCCAATCCAAATTTTTACTGTTTTTCTGGTCTTTCAAAGTTCTAATTTTTTCAGAAAACAATTCATTTTCTTTTTACAGCTTTTTTATTCTGACAAAATGATCGGCTCCGTTCTTTCCAAATCAACTATTCTGTTAGTTTACTCTTCTAATTGCTTTTGGGTAACCGTTTTACAGATTTTAGTTTACAGAAATTAAAGTTGAAGTAGTTTGTGCTTAGTTAATTTAATATAACAATGTTGTGTAATTTCTATACGGCTTTAAAATGCTGTGTTGTTTTATTTTCACAATCATCGAATAAGCTTATTGTTATGACTCGATAAGCTTTTTGAAGACATGATATATTTAGTAAGATATTGTAATCATTGCTGCTCTTTTGAAAAATGTTATTTAGGAAACCTATAGTTCTGATAAGGAATTTTTTAAAACGAAATAGTCAAAATAGTATAATAATAGAAAATTAATTCTATAAAAATTCTAAAAAAGACCAATCAATTAAGGACAGCTATTGGTTGTTAACGACAACTTATTTGATTTTTTATAAATGTTATACTATCAGGGCATGTCACTATCGTTTTTAAACGAACTACATGTTTTTATGCAAAAGCGCTTGCTCATTGCCCTAATTTTTATTTTTTATATGTAAAAGAAGTTTTTGGGTATACTTGATCCCAGGCTTTAATCACCGTAATTTTTCAAGACATTATATTTTGACTTACGCATGAACATACCAGGTTTGGAGTATTGGAAAATCATTTACTATTTAAACAATGTCCGAAAATATTAAACAAAAAAAACAGATTAAAAAAAAAAGTACTTATATATATGTATATATATATATATATATATATATATATATATATATATATATATATATTATATATATATATATATGAATTATTTTTTTTACTATATGTTATGAATATTTTATATATATTTTATATTTTACTAGTTATATATTTTTTACTCTTATTGTTGTATATCAATTTTTAAATATCCCTTCAATACTATTTTGTAGAATATCTTATTGGGCATTATAATACTTCATTAGTTAAAGGAAACATTATTGCTAAAATAGCAAAGATAAATAAAGAATATTTGTTGTCTTTTGATTTTAAACCAATGGTATTTGAGACTGGACTGCACAACATTATTTATTTTACTGTTAGAGCTGATATGGTCAACAAAAGAAATGACTTTCTAGGCATCTGGGTAGATGATAGTGGTACAGGAAGAATTAAAATTGTTGCATTACTTAATGGAAAATCAAGTTTCTATTATCACCCTATTCAATTAAATACTTGGTCAAAGGTTGAGATCAGTCAATGTTCAAATGGCTTCTTTTTTGTATTCAAAGTTAAAATAAATGGATATGTTGTTTTTTCAATTATTAACAATGAAGCCCAGGATTTAAATAACGTCACAGTGTATGCTTCAAATCCATGGGACAAAGTTCAAAATGGCTCAATAAAAAGTTTCTTCATTATTAATGGTAATTTAAGTAAAATTTGTTTTTGTTACAGTATTTTTTTAGAATGAAAATAATTTCAATATAAATACATTTTTAAGATATTTTTAGAGTTTAAACCTCACTTAGAGCTACTTTTTATTGTGAGTGTGAAAAGATCTTGTTTTAATAAATATTTGCAAAAATTGTGGTTTTCTTTTTAAGAGTTTTTGATGTTGCAAATAAAAAACTAATTTATGTCAATAGTTCCAATTGTAACTATTTTGGTTGAAATTTGAAAATAGTTCTAATAACGATTTTTTAAACTTATGAAGTTTAATCATGAAAAAGGTCTTTACAATCATTACTAACTTAGTTTTCATTTTTAAATAGGTTTTTTTTTTTTTTTTTTAGACAGTGAATGTAAATCTAATGTTGTTTATGCTAAAGGTATGTCTTTATATATATATATATATATATATATATATATATATATATATATATATATATATATAATATATATATATATATATAAATGTAAATATATATATATAAATATAAATGTATATATATATATATTGTAAATAATATAATAAAATAATTGTTTTATGATAATTTTAGTTTACGAATTTACAAATAAGTAAATAATACGAAGAATAAAGTAAACTATACAATAATATAAGAAAGTATCTCATTTTGTTTTAATATCGTTTTATCTCCATATTGTTTAGATTATGTTAATCATAATTACGAGTTTACTCTTCATCAAGGAACAATTCTTGGAACACTAAGAGTTTTAAAAAAGGAGTACACTATTTCGTTTAATTTGAAGCTTATGAGTTATTCTAAGGGTTTAAAAAATGTTCTTTATTTAACCCTGTGTAATGAGAGTGAAATATATGGTGACAGACATCTAGGTCTTTGGTTTCATGAAAATGGTTCTGGATGTCTTGTTATTTATGCTTTAGTTAACGGTAAAAATAATTACTTTGTCAAAACAGATCCTCTTTCATTAGGTCGATGGCATAATATTAGAATCTATCAGTGGTTGCTTGGAAAAAAATATTTATTTACTGTTGATCTGAATAACATTAATATTCACAGAGCAGAAAATTTTTTAGCCTTTGATTTTAAAAACATTAAAGTTTATGGTTCTAATATATGGGATGCTGCACAAGAAGGTTTCATATCTGACCTTTTAATAATTAATGGAAAAGTTGGTAAAAAATTTATAATATATATTTTTTTTAAATATTTTCTACATTTAATGTAAATTAGAATAATCAAGCAAAAATATGATAGTTAATGATAGTCCGCCACAGATTACGGACAATACAACAATCGGCAATAGATTGACAATGTTACGATATTATTTATGCTGTGAGAAGTGAAAACTTTTTTATTAAAAAATAAAAAGGTTTTCTTTTAAATAATTTTTATTGGATGTTACTTTTAGATGTACGTGCACAGAAAAAAATTGAAAATGTTGATGCATATAAAAAACTATAGATGAATTGATTTAAATGATTCACTTCTCTAATAAAATAAGTTTTGTAAAAGAAGTAATAAGTAAACAGCCGACAAAATTGAAAAAGTTTAAATAATTTTGTTCAAGAAACGTGTTTTTTTTATTAAGTGTTTAAACTTTGAAGAAAATTCTAAAATTTTAAAACATGTAATTATCTGTCTTCTAGAACGCCTCATAAATCCATATATACAATAATTTTTGTCTAATGAATGTGTAAGATAGTATCTATTTACTTCAAAAAGATGAGGCTACCGGAAAAAAGAGCGTAAATAAAAACCCTCTTGAAATTCTGTAAGCAGGTAATTAAATATAAAAATTATGCAATTCTTCTTCATTAAAATTTTTTATATCCAAAATATATTACAATAGAATCTAAAAAAGTTAATAAACTTTGTACAGTAGATGTAAATTACGCGTATCTACTAATTTCATGTAACAACTTTAAAATTCATTATGCAATTTCTTACGAATTATGATTTTAATTAGATTGAGATTTATAAAGTTTACTTTTTCCTAATAAACTGCATATATACATATATATGCATTTATAATTTAATTTTTTGTTTCAGAAATGATAAGTTATTAACAAATAGCTTTTTTTGACTAAATGTATATATATATATATATATATATATATATATATATATATATATATATATATATATATATATATATATATATATATATATATATATATATATATATATGTATATATATATATATATATATATATATATATATATATATATATATATATATATATATATATATATATATATATATATATATATATGTATACTCTTGCATGGTAGTTGAAAGAGTTTCCCATAAACTGTAGTTTTAAAGGACGCGTTAATAAACCAGACCAGAAAAAGTTTAAAAACTTAAGTTTTTTCCAAATGATAGACTGCCTGCCCAAACCAAACCCTCAGTCGATGTAGCAGCACTCCCTTGCGAGTCAGGCTATTTGTCAGTCGTTGTAGCAGCACTCCCTTGCGAGTCAGGCTATTTGTCAGTCGATGTAGCAGCACTCTGTTGCGAATCAGGCTATTTGTCAGTCATATCATCAGCTATTAATAATTTAAATTAAAAACTAACGTTTAAAAAACGAATCAAAATTTACGTTATTTTAAAAAAGGCGCAATAATTTAATCTCTAGTATCAAACAGTATCTCTAGTATCAGGAATTTATTTAAATGTCAACATTTAGATAATATTTCGTCTTTTTTCTTAAGCAGGTTGTTTCCATTAAAAGATAAAATTTTAATGTATATATATATATATATATATATATATATATATATATATATATATATATATATATATATATATATATATATATATATATATATATATATATATATATATATATATATATATATATATATATATATATATATATAAATATATATATATATATATATATATATATATATATATATATATATATATATATATATATATATATATATATATATATATATATAAATATATATATATATATATATATATATATATATATATATATATATATATATATATATATATATATATATATATATATATAAATATATATATATATATATATATATATAATATATATATATATATATATATATATATATATATATATATATATATATATATATATATATATATATATATATATATATAGATATATATATATATATATATATATATATATATATTCCAAGACTTTTCTAACAAACAGATGGCAGAGGGTAGTTTTGGGTCTTGACATATCGGATTGGGTGAATATAAAATTAGTGTACCAGAGTGATCTGTTCCCAGACCGATTCTATTTGTATTATACATAAACGACTAACCGAGAGAACTTTAAACAAGATCCTTCATTTATGCTGATGACTCTAAGTTAATAAAACCTATAAAGCCAAACGCACATTTAAATAATTTTTTAGAACTTAAAGATAGTATTATTAAAATTTCAACTTTGTACAAAATGTGGTGTATGATGGTTTTGCGCATTATCCTCCGCCTGCTAATTGCCTTGCGGAGGCCACATTACCTAGATCCGCAGAGACTTTTTTCGGCTCCTATTGGAGCGTCATAACCCACTTTTCAGACCAAGAGTAAGGTGAGTTTAGGAACAACGAAGAAATGTTAGAGTGAAAGGCAAAAGTAGTTGTGTTAGAAAGATAGCATAGAGAAAGCGGACAGAATTGCACACGATATTAGAAGGTGCAATAGTACTGTTTGTCGAACCGACAAAGACTTAGGAATTCACTTTACACGATCTCTTCCTTAACTTTCTTTGTCGTCCCCTAAGGTGTATGAAACTAAATATCGATATCTTCATGGTTATGCATAAAGGTAAAAAAAGCCCACATCATGAGTTCTCAATCACAAACGCTAATGGGTGTATTTTTAAAATTAAACAAACTGAAACAATAAGATATTTAGTAGTTATGATATCAAAAAATTTAAAAACCCATGCGCATGTAATCGACATTGTAGCAAAAGCAAATAGTATTATTAGGCTTTTGAATCATGCATTTCAATCAAGAAACGAACACTTGTGGAAAAAGGTATATACCATCAATATCCGCCCGCATCTAAAAATTGCTGTGACAGTATAAAAACAGTATTTAGAAGGAGATATTTTTATAATTAAACAAGTTCAATGAAGAGCTACGAATGTTGTACATTGTAAGAAAAATCTTTCGCATAAAAACCAAATGAATAGTTAACAACGCTGGAAATAAGAAGAAATCGCGGAGATCTGATCCAAATGTTTATGCTAGAAAGGCTTTTAGAAGGAGTAGATTGAAACTAACCTTTACCAGTAAATAGGAGAGGATTTTTTGTATAAGAGATTGTCAAAAACTCAGACATTGGACATAATTTTTAAATAATCAGATTTGTTAAGAAGTAAACAGTCCTTAGAATGACAGTAAAAAATAAGAATATATATATATATATATATATATATATATATATATATATATATATATATATATATATATATATATATATATATATATATATATATATATATATATATATATATATATATATATATATTTATATATTTATATATACATACTATTATTTTTTAGATATACTAATAAATTTTTTAAATAAAAGAAATTTCTTTTAGATAAAATATAATTTTTTTATATATATAAAATAAAATTAAAATTTTTTCACTATTTTATAAAATTTTGATTTTGTGACTAGCCACGTTTTCGAATTACAGCGATCAATTTTAAAGCATTTTTTTTATGTTTATTATTGTATTTCATTATTATTTTTATACTTAAAAACAATATATAAGGAGTTATTCGACTATGTTTTGTTACTTTCCAAACTTGTAGCATCTAATATGTATATAAAATTTACGACTAAAAAAATTCAGATTTTTATTCAATAAAACTTTTTGGCACAAAACTTCGTTTTTACTTAATTATTTAAGACGTGTTATTAACGTTTAAAAATTCAATTCGCTAACATCTGATGAAGATTTCCTTCACAGTTTTTCCTTCAACTTTCAAAATTGATAACTAATGCTAAGTTGATAACTAATGCAAACCGGAGTGCCCTAAATTTATACACTCAACAGCGCTTTCCATAATTTTCAAAAAGCAATATTTTTTATTATAAACAATTAGCCCTAGCTATTTTTTTGCTTGAAAGTATATAAATTTAAGAAGTTAAAATAAAACTGCTATTAACAAGTCTTCATTTACAAAAATTGGTTTGTAGCTATATTTTATTGACCTAAAAATTATCTTTTTAAGCGCAATAAACATTTTTATGCGGAAGAAATAAAAAAGTACATGCGCTTCAAAATAATTCAAAACTAAATCTAAACATTTTACCTTGCAAAACAGTTTTTCATACAAAATTTTTAAATGAAAAAGTTCTCTAAGTTCGATAATTTTTTATATTATATATTTCGTACTTCGCTTTGTTATTTTTATTTATTTCAACCAATTTTATAAAGTCAAAACAAAAGAGATAATTTATAATGAGTGGTATAAAAACAAGAAAAAAGACAAACACAACAATTTCTGATATAATATGTTTTCAGTTTTTTAGAACATAATTGATTTTATTTGAAAATGTATTTGATAATTTGATAATATAACATTTTTTTATTAATATTTTAAATGTTAAGTCACGAGCAATAAATTTTCTACGAAAAAAATGTTATCACCAACAACATTGACAAATATGATTTTTCAAATATTACAATCTAATATATTTAAAATTAATATTAAATCTTTGTTACTAATCTTATATCTCAATATAATAATATCAATATAACATTAATATATTGTTATTACATAACAATATAAATAGTATTAACAGTAATAGTAATCATAATAATAAAAAAAAAATAAAATGTTATCTTAAGGAAAAGGAAGAGAATTTATTCCATTTGAGCTACCAACACTTGGTGCTTTTCTTCGTTAAACTATACTCATAAAGATTTGTTAGAAAATAAATTATATCCGCTAGATGATTTGGTTATATAAACAAGATTGTAAGTTGTAAAACAATAAAAAAGCAAACTCAGACTTTTTATTTTAAGTTATTTTTACAGATAAGTCCATTTACAAAAAGATCAAAAAAATTTATAATGATTTCAGGATATTTGCAGAAAAAGATTAACCAAAAAAGTAGAAACTGACAAAATAATAAAGTTTACAAAACGACTGTTTGATTTAACTAACTGCAAATGTGCAATTTTATTCTGTAATGAATCAATGTCTAAGATGTGAAAAAAGTTCACATCGACTGTAAATTGAATTAAATTTTGTTTACTTGCAGAGAAAACAAAAAGTAGCAGAGCAGTCTCAAATTATGATAGAATCAAAAGAGTACACAAAGATTAAAAGGAAGGAAAAGGCTATTGAGCGATTTAGTAAAAAGGAAAAGAACTTGAAAAAATTTAATGTAAAGTGTCAAAACCAATTTGATAACGAAACCAAAACATTTCATACCCTAACTACAAAGGAAGATAACTTTACTTTAACTGATGAATATGTTAAAGTAAAGTTGAGTAGATGAACTTAAATCTTCAAAATGTTCGGAATCTTTTTTAATTCAAAATATCTTTTGTATATTTAAATATATATTAGGAAGTTTATTGGATATGTATAGGCATATGTACGGATTTGTAAATTATTTTTTCAAACGTTTTTCTTTTTTATTATTTTCAAACTTTTTAGTTTTGTCAAAATTTAAAATTATTTTTTCAACTTTTTGAGTTTTCAAACTTTATAATTTGTTTTTTTTTAAACTTTTTTTAATTTCACTCTTTTATATGTTATTGGAAAATTTAAAATTTTTTTTATTTTTTTTAATTTTTACGAAGGGGCTTGATGATAAGACATTTATGTCTTATCATCAAGCCCCTTCATGTCTTCTATATACGTATATATATATATATATATATATATATATATATATATATATATATATATATATATATATATATATATATATATATATATATATATATATATATATAATATATATATATATATATATATATATATATATATATATATATATATATATATATATATATATATATATATATATACATGTATATATATATATATATATATATATATATATATATATATATATATATATATATATATATATCATGTTTAGGAGAGAGATGTTAATTTAAATTAACATCTCTCTCCTGAGAAAGTCTTTCTCAGCTCCATTTCCTTAAAAAAATAAGAAAGTCAAAAAAAATGTACAAATTAAACATTGACAAAGTAAATTAAGTTTGATTATTCGTATAAAAAGATTAGCACTAGGCTAAGTTAGTACATTGCATAGGACTTTTTTTATTTTAGAGTTTATTGTTGGCAATTTTATTACTCCATTAGTAAAGGGGAAATTAATGGCTGTGATTCCATATCTAGACAAAGAATATTTTGTTTCACTTGATTTTAATCCTTTTAAATTTGATATTGGTTCACGCAATGTTATTCATTTGACAATTGGTTCTGATCATTTTAATTATGGTGATAAAAAATCAGGAATCTGGTCGGTTTCACAAGGTAATGGCGTTCTTGAAATAGCGTCTTCAATTAATGGATATGTGGATGTACATACTTTTTCAACAAATGCATTTGAAGTTAATCAGTGGTCAAATATTGTAATATGCCAATTTTTTAACGGTTCATTCTATATATACACAATCATTATAAATGAAAAAGTTGCGTTTTCTATAACAAACTATCAAGCTAATAGCTTTGTCAATGTCAAAGTATATGCTTCAAATCCATGGGTGGAGGCTCTTAATGCTTCAATAAAAAGCTTGTTTGTGGTCAATGGAAATTCAAGTTGGTTTTTTTCTAAACTTCATTATTAAAAGTTTTTAAATTTAAAACAATATTTTTTTTTCTTTTAAAATAAAAGTAAAATAATTTTAACTACGACTTTTATTATTTTGTTAAAATTATGATTAATTTGTTTTGTTTAATCAATTAAAATTCTAGTGAGTTTTCGTGCCTAATACGTTTTTATTTAAAGTTTTAATAGATTTAGTATAAATTTAATAAAAATTAGGAATGGTAATATTTTTATAAATTTTTAATACTAAGTACTGCATTTAATTTTATTATATTTTATTTTTTGTGTCAGCCAAAGAAATGGAACCCATTGTTATTATTAATAAAGGTAATATTTTCTTGTATAAAGGTGTAAAGAAATCGCCTAAAGGCAATTTACAAACTTTTTTAAAATTGAACAAATATGTTTTGTGTGAAAATTATAAAAACTAGTTGTGTCTAAAGATGAACTAGAGTACTTTTTTTTAATTTCTGTTTGCTGCGCCAGCTAATTATAGATGTTTTTATTGTTTCTGCTTTACCTTTAAATCTAGTTATTTTAATTCTGTTTATGAGTTTATTAATGCATCTTTCCACATAGTGAATAAATACTTCACAAACATTTAAAACGTTTTGTTACCTTAAAGACCAATTTTCAGTACAGTTTTTGATTTTGTGTTAATTTAAAAAAACGTCGGTACACATGTGTACCAATCATGATAAAAGTATTAATGGTTTTGAAATCAACTGGTTTTGGTTTTGGAATCTTGTTTTACTGCCTGGTAAAAAACAGAATGTGTACTTCCATATTTTACTCTTTAGAATATTTTGAATCCTTTAACCTTGTGTGATTATACATCATAATCATTTAGCATTGTCTTTAATCAACAAATTTCTAACATTTAATTTTGAGTTTTATAACTGACTATCTGATAATTAGTATGGTTTTCAATCTTTTTCTGTACGACTGAATTGCTAACAGCTGTAACTGGAAGATTTTATTTTGCATTTTATGGAGGCAGCAAAGCAAGGACTATTGCTCTACATATCTAAATCATTTGATAATGTTTTGGCATGCTGGTTTTCTCTATAACCATGCTTTATCTGTCAAAATATTTGAGATTATTAAATGATTCAAAAATACTTGTTTATCATCATTAATTAGAAAGAAAGTAAATAATATTAATGAGTACTTTTCATAGTTTGCTTTTGAAAAGTTAATCATCTAAAGTTTCGTAATTTAAAGAATTTCTTTTTTTAGTATCAAAAGGTTCAAGACTTGAAAAAGCTTTTTCAGCTTCTACGGATGTTGGAGGATTTATTTGAAGAGCTTTGAAAAGTAAATCTAAATACTCGGGCCTAGTTTTGATAGCTTTAAAAACAGTCATTTTCTTTTAAAAAAGGCTTGTTGCAATTTCCTGATGGTCAAGTTTCATTTCAGTGTCTGATTGTTCAATAAAAAGTTTGAGTTGGTAAGCTAAATTGAATTTATTTTTGATGACAAAATCTATGACAGTTGTTAGGTTTTCAGTTATACTTTTATTATTTACTTCCTTGTCCTAATCAGAGCTACTCCCAGATGGCTAAAATAATTGCTGACTGAGATTAGTAGAAAGATTATTAATCGTCTTTTATTTTAATCTTGTTACCAAATTGGTCATCTTTACTTAAGACATTCGGATATGACAAGTACTTCATGAATTGAATTAAATGAATGTTTCTTCTTTCAGTAACTCAATATTCAAATATCAGTTTAACAAGTCAACTTATAGGTGTATTAGCTTCATGAATTTTTTTTCTGGTAAACTCAATTACAATTTTAGTATAAAAAAGATCAGCATCTTCTTTTGAAAATATTGATGTCCAATTTTAGTGGTTTTCAAGTAACAAAAAATCCATTCATGACATCAAGCTCATTTATTGTTAGAAAAAAATCAATATTTATATCAATCAGAGCTATTTTAATTCTGCTTGTACCTCCAAAGAACGTTTAAGCATGTCAACAGTACTGCTTGATTTTGTCCTTGAATCACAAATGTTTTTGAAATTTTGAGAGTTGTTATACATCACGCTAACTTATGGAAGAATGTTGTTGTTTGATCACTATTGGCAAGTTTTTTGCTTTTTTATATATATTTTTTAGCATATAAACAGTAAAAATTTGTTTGTCTTCCTGATTTGATTTATCTATATTAAGGCACATGTTCTTCTTTTTCTTACTGACTTCTTTAATGAATTTTATATTTAATGATTTAAATACTAAAAAACTTTTGAACATGTACAATTTGGTTCTATTCAAACTGTGATAAAGAACAGCTACTTAAGTAATGCAAGTTTTGTATACGGAATAAGAAAAATAGTATTGCCATCTTGCATATTTTATTTTCTTAAAGTTGTTGCAAAGTGGCGTTAAGCGTTGATTTTTTATTCATAATTTTTATGATGTTTCGCATTTCAAATCTGTCTTATTTTTTATTGGAACATTGTTTTTATCAATCTCAAGTTTTTATTGGAACATTGTTACTTTCAAACTAGAATGTTTAGTTAATGACTAGACTCATCATAAGAACTAAATAGTTACATAAGAAAAGTAAATAGAAGTAAACTTTGAAAAGAAAAATTTGTATTTAGATTAACTGCATTACAACTACGCTAAAATGCACTATTGAACAAAACATGGGTTAACTTTCTTGCTTACACATGTTTTGCTCAAATCTAAAATGTATTAACATTTCTTGCCTTGAGTTGTAACATTTGTTGATTTGTGTAGTAATATTTTTTGCATTAATTTTTTTATGAGTATTTGAATAATGCACAGCTTTATACAAGTATTGCATTTATGAATAAATTTTCTGCTTTTTGAACCTTTGCACAACTGCACAAGAGTTAAAAATGTTCATTGTGGATACGGATTTTGAACTTTTTAAATAATGCTTTATAACTAAAAAATAAACGTTACTAAACTTATAAATCTAAAAAAATGCCATATAAATTAATAAAAAGTATCATGTTCAATAACTAAAGACATAAGACATATTTATTACCCTCAATATTTATAATCTAATTAAATTAAAAATCAAAATTAAAAATTTATCAAGTTTATTAATTTAATACAAAATTATTTTTTAACTCACTTTTTCATATTTTTATTTGTTTAGTTTCAACTTCAACTTCATATTCTACTAATAGTAAGTTGTTTGTACCACGCTTTTTACTCTATTTGTCTGTCTAGATGACAATCTAGAATGTAAGTTTTATCTATCATTTTGTATTTCATAAATAGTTTAAAAAAAATTGAAAACTCTTAAAATTCTGATTACTTTAGACAAAATATCAGTAATCTCTATTGCCGTATTAGTTCCAGTTATAACTGTTCTTGTTGCAGTTTGTTTTGTTATTGCAGTATTGAGATTATGCAGAAAAAAAACCCCAAAATCAATGAATCTAAATCCTTACACTATGGAGTAAGTATAATAAGCTATATATATATATATATATATATATATATATATATATATATATATATATATATATTATATATATATATATATATATATATATATATATATATATATATATATATATATATATATATATATATATAAATATATATAAATATATATATATATATATATATATATATATATATATATATATATATATATATATATATATATATATATATATATATATATATATATATAAATATATATATATATATATATTTATATATATATATATATATATATACAAGCGACCGTCACGTAGCTATCATGTGAACAACGAACGCTCATGACGGTAAGATTTAGGCAATTTTAAACATTATTTTTTATGAATGTTCGGAGTTTAAAAGTTAAACTATTAGTTTATGGAAACTGCATAACTACTTGTAGTTTTATATTTAATTGTAATTTTTTGTCTGTTTTTTTGCATTTACAGAAATTAATTCAAATTCTAATCTGTTGAAACAACAATGTTATTAAGATCTGCAGCGGCAAAAATTTATCATATATTTTTTAGTGAAGCTCGCGAATTACCAAACGTTTACTTGCCAACGAACAAACAGGTTGGCAAAGCATACTTGTTTGAAAAGAGTTCAAAAACTGAGACACTACGAACAGTTTGTAAAAGACTGGCTGATAAACTTTTGTAAGAATGGATTAAAGCATCAATTCCTACAATAACTCTTCGAGGGAAAGAAATCCAGTTGAAATAGTATATAGGTGAAGTTCAGAAAGTGACGTGATCAAAATCTGCAACACTCAAAAGAGAAGAAATAGAAACTAATCTTAATAAACTGTTTGATATTTGTTCATTTAAATGCAAAGAGTTTTTATCTTACTGTTGCCCTCTTAATATGAAGGTAGCAGCAATTGAGCATAATTGTCTTACAGTTCAACGCACTGCACGTATTGGTCGAACAGCTGGTTTTGATAAGAAGGAATCTGCACTTGCTAAAAGGTGTCTGATAAGGAAATCAGTCTTAAGATCAACAAATGAAATTAGTAACAAATGTATCAGATTAGCTGAAGCATCAAATTCAGATAATGATACAGTTCAAACAACTAGTGATTCTGACACTGAAACTTGTTCCCCTTGTGCATCAGATAATACATCAGATAAAATACCGAAACCTTCTTATCTCAAAAAACATTGCCTTAGAAATATTGCATTACAAACAGTTGGGTTTTGCATATTTCAGATCGTGCAGTTGCTGTATTAGTATCAGCAACTGTTGCTGATTTTGGTTTAGAACATATGGGACCAGTTGATTGCAATATTTCGGAGAGAAAGAAAACTTCTGAGATTTCTGGGTTTTATTTTGACGGCAGAAAAAATCAGACTTTAAAACTTGTTGAAGGTCAACAGACTGTAGTTTCTAAAGAACATATTTCTCTATTAATAGAGCTAGGATCAAAATGCATCGACCATTTCTCTCAAATAAGTGGTACAGCTAAATCCATTGCAGAATCAATTCTTGATACAGTATACTGTACTAATCTTGTTGTATTGGTTCAGATTCAACAAACGTTAACGCTGGTTTAAATAATGGAGTTATACGAAGAATGGAAATTAAACTTGATCGTCCACTTCACTGGTCTATTTATCTCTTACATCTGAATGAGCTTCCTTTGCAACATCTATTTAGTTCCTTAGATGGTGCAACAACTGGACCTCATTCATTTAAAGGATGTAATGAAAAATCTATTTCAAAGCTATTGCAGTCACCCATAGTCGCAATACTTTGCTGTTATTGCTGATGAACTTTTTATTTGTGGTAAAGATTTATTAAGCAGTGATCAGTTATACTTTTTAAAAATTGTTAATGCAATGAAGACAGGGATTGTACCACAGAGATTTGAATCCAGATTGTGTGAGCAGCTAAACCATGCAAAATGGTTGACACTTGCAAATCGTGTTTTACGTCTATATATATCTACTGTAGCTCCATTAAATGAACTTACGCTATTGGCTAAGTTTATCGTGAACTCTTATGCAGTTATATGGTTTGATGTAAAAAAATATTTAAATTGTTGAAATGCTGCACCACACAATTACAAAATGATAGAAACATCACATTTTTTCCTGTGCAGTACAGAATTTAGCTCATATTGTGAGCATTATTCTTGCTATGTTGAAAGACAACCGTCAAGTAATTCGTAGACTTGCTCTAAAAAGAATTCTACAAGAAGATGACATACCAAATCGTAAATTCTAACTCCCTAAAATTAGACTTCAAGTAAGAAGCTATGAAGAGCTGATTGATTGGCTAACTATTTCTCGCTTGGAACCCGTTTTGACAAAACACATTTCTACCGCACAAACCGTTTTGTAGCGCAATAGCTATATAGCTCATATTGGTCTAGCTTCAGTCAGATGAAAATGTTGTTGTTAATATAGAACCATTTCCATGCCACAATCAAAGTGTTGAATGTTTAAAATTGTCACTGAATCTGCATCTAAGGTGTATATATATATATATATATATATATATATATATATATATATATATATATATATATATATATATATATATATATATATATATATATATATATATATATATATATATATATATATATATATATATATATATATATATATATATATATATATAGTATATATATATATATATATATATATATATATATATATATATATATATATATATATATATATATATATATATATATATATATATATATATATATATATATATATATATATATATATATATATATATATATATATATATATATATATATATATATACATATATATATTATATATATATATATATATATATATATATATATATATAAATTGTTCAAAGCAATAACTAAAGAAAATGTTTTTTATTAAGCTAGACTTTTTCTAATAAGCTAAATTTTTTTTACCATTGAGAATTTTTTTTTAATTCTTGCTTAGTAAAAAAATAATTGCTTAGTAAAAAATTCCTTAACATACTGTCAAGTAAAAAATTACTTCCTTTAAGTAAAAAGTTAATTGAAATTTTTTTGCCTAAATTTTGACACTTATGTTTAGGATGTTAGTTTTTATAAACACGATATGAGAGTAAATTTCCCCAACATGAGTATCATAATGTTTTAAAAAATACATGTTTATACAAACAAATATACCATTTTTTATGATTTATATCAGTAGCTGCCAAATTGCAACACCCCGAGATGCGTGTCGGGGGGAGGGGAAACCAGAGCTGTATGGGACCCATTTTTTATGAAGGAACCGTAGTGTTTAAACATTTTTAGCAATTATAAAATTTTTACTCCTGTATTGAAGTAACGTCTGACCAAAAATCGAAAGAAATAAAATATAAAACAACAACAAGCTAATTAAAAATAGCAATTACAAAAATGTAAAAAAAAACTTTTGTAGTGGGGGTCTACAAATTTTTTTTCGGGGGACAAGGTCAAAGTTTGAAGTTTTTCACTGATTTATATACACACTATTTTATATGAGATATATTGACAATTCTATTTTTTACTTAAGTTATATGCGCAATAATTTTATCAAATATATATATATATATATATATTTATATATATATATATATATATATATATATATATATATATATATATATATATATATATAAAGTTAAATTTCTTTTCTGCTACACCATGCATCTTCATCTTAACAAAATTAAATATATAGAAATAAGTTGATTACTTCAGTATAGGTTATTAATAACTCTAATAAAAATTGATATATGTATATATATATAATTATATATATACATTTTTTTTTTTTTAATTTTCATATTTAACCATATTAATAAAATTTACAAAATTTATTGTAAGTTAATTTAAATTGGTTAGGTGTCACTCATATAGTTTACAAACTAGTCAATAGAGTGACACCTTAAATGCGAAAAAATTTCACGAAAAAATAAATAAATAAATGTGAATTGAAGAAAAAAACAAACAAACAAACAAAAAGAAACAAAAGCAAACAAAAAAAAAAAAAAAAAATTAAAAAAAAAAAAAAAAACTAAAGGAAAAACTCAGCGTCTGTATATATAAATAAGAGAGAAAGAAGAAAAGATTGTTAAACAAATAATAATGATATATGTAATAATAATAGTAATAATAGAAAATAATAATAATAATAATAATAAATTACCAATAAAATTAAAAGTATTATAATACAATATAAATTGTATGTACAAATCATAGATGATAATTAGATACCCTAACCTTAACCCTAAGCAGCCATGGCGCAGTGGTAGCGCATTTGTCTCAGAAACGTAAGATCCGTGGTTCAAACCCCACCTCTGGGCAAGTTTTGCGACATCGGTTGGGAAGGAGGCGTGAACTTCCTATTAAATGCTCTTCCGCGGTGCTCTGTGATAAGACCGTAAGGACTTCTTGGGGCACCTTAATCAACTTAAAATATATATATATATATATATATATATATATATATATATATATATATATATATATATATATATATATATATATGTATATATATATATATATATATATATATATATATATATATATATATATATATATATATATATATATATATATATATATGTATGATATATATATATATATATATATATATATATATATATATATATAGTAAAAATCAAACTGCTTGTTTATTAAAGAGATTTTATATTAAAGACAACTACACTACAGAGAGAAATTATAAAGAAATACACTCCAACAATATATTTTTAAATTGAATTCTGTTGAGCAGTAAAAAATTCGTAACAAGTGGATATTTTTTCTCAGACTTTTTTATTAATACAGGAATACACTTCCATTGAGAAATACATTGTTGTTTTATAGAAAACCTACCATATTTAAAAAACTTACCATATTTATGGAAAACTTATATATTTGATTGTGTTTGCATTTATATTTATGGAAAACTTATATATGTGATTGTAATAAAAAAGCATAGTATAGGTTACTATTTTCTGATTTCCTGGTGTGATGATTATAAACTTCGTTTGTTTTAATAAAAAAATTTGAAAAAGGGCTTGGTAGTAAATTTTGGAGAAAGTCAAACACAAAAAGACAATTAATAAAATTTTACAAAATTATGGTGTTTTAGGATTTTTAGTTCAGAAACTTTTTTATTTGATATCAGATCTCATTGAGGAAAACGTCATTATTCTAATAGATGCATGTTGTAAACTAGCAATGTTATTAAGTAAAAAGTTTTTTTTTTGACCCCAAACAATACAACAATAGCAAAGGTGAGAAGAGAATAAAGAAAAATAAATCATTCAAAGAGTTTGGATAGGAATATAGTAACGAATTAGAGAAAGCATACTGTTAGCTCGTGTAAGTTTTTTTTTTAGATGATACAGTTGATTATACCAAGATAGGTTTTTATCAAGATATAATCCAAGATGCTTTATATATTTTGATGGAAAAAGTTTTTTGCCAATAATTTTAATTTTAATATGATCAATATTTTTTTGAGGTGAATGAAAAATAATGTATTCAGTTTTATTGACATTCAAGGAAATACGGTTACTATTTAACCAGTTACATAAGCAATGAAGATCTTGATTAACTTTTTTACAAAGAGTCGTAAGGGATTTGTTAATATATAAAATATTGGTATTGTCAGCATAATGATGTATCATAGAATTTTTTAACTAACAAGTTAAATCATATATATTTAATAAGAACAACAACGGTTTAAGAACGGAACCTTGTGGAGCACCATATTTAATAACTTTATGTGTGGATTTGAATCCATTAATTGAAACAAACTGAGTGCGATCCGTAATATATGAAGAAACCCAATGAATAGCAATTCCACATATTCCGTAGTAGTTAAACTTTTTTATTAGAATGTTGTAATTAACCGTATCAAAAGCTTTTTGAGGATCTATGAATACACCACAAGCAAAAGAACCACTGTCAATTGCACCACGAATCATTTCAGTAATGCTAATATGAGCGTGAGAAGTGGAGAGATTTGAGCAAAACCCAAATTATCGAATATGAAAACAAGCAGAATTATTCAAAAAGTTGTTAGATATATATATATATATATATATATATATATATATATATATATATATATATATATATATATATATATATATATATATATATATATATAAATATATATATATATATATATATATATATATATTTATATATATTACAACAAATGTTCCAAAAAAAAAAAAAAAAATATATATATATATATATATATATATATATATATATATATATATATATATATATATATATATATATATATATATATTACAACAAATGTTCCAATATATATATATATATATATATATATATATATATATATATATATATATATATATATATATATATATATATATATATATATTACAACAAATGTTCTAATATATATATATATATATATATATATATATATATATATATATATATATATATATATATATATATATATATATATATATATATATATATATATATATATATATATATATATAAACAACAAATGTTCCAAAAAATCACCACAAACGAAGTATAATCTGGTACAACCCTCCATTTAGATAAATAACAAAAGATTTAAAAGATAACAATTTTACATCTTCAATCAAATCGAATATAATTAAACTCTGTAAATCATTTAATCCTGCGTCAAAAATTTGTAAGCTTTGTTTAAATAAGAAATTTGAAATATTATTTTACAAAGGAGATAATCTGCTAAATAAAAGAGGCGAAGTAGTTTCAAAATGTAGACATAAAAATAAATATCTTCTTTCATTATTTGATAGCGGAGATTAGTTTTCCATTATGTCTTCTTGTACTAAGACGTCAGAACTCATTCTACTGTAGTTTGTAATTTTTAGACGGTTTTTTATATTTTTGATTTTGTACTTCATGGCTGATGATTGCCGATAGGAATAAAACTTTAAGTTCCATTAAAAGTTGATTTTTCTATATTTAAGTATATATATATATATATATATATATATATATATATATATATATATATATATATATATATATATATATATATATATATATATATATATATATATATATATATATATATATATATATATATGTATGTATCTACGTATGTATATATATATCTTTTTTTTTTTTAGTCAATACATTGGGTATGATGAATTATTAGTAGATGAATGGGAGATATACCCTGAAAATATTATTATGGGTAAAAAAATTGGAGAAGGAGCATTTGGTACTGTTTATATTGCAAAACTTAGTTCATCTTTTGTTTCAAGAAAAAGAAATATAAAACAGAAATCTGATTTTTATGATATCTTAGAAAACACTATTAATGTTGCTGTGAAACTTGTAAAAGGTAAGGATTTTTTAAATATGTTTTTCAATCACTGCTGAAAAAAAGTTGTAATTTAAAAATATATAACAAAATAATAAAATAATCTTTTAAAATTTTTTGTATTTTTTGTTTTTTTTAATAAGTGTTTTATTAGTTTAATTAAATTATAGAAAACAAATTTTTTAGTTCATAAGTTCTTAGAAAAACATTTAAAAAAAAAAAATTGAATTACTTTGCTGTTGACATTATCAACTACAGTCCATATTATGTAAATATTTGTTTTTTCTTCTTTTATAAATAACTTTTTCATGATCATTATGAGTTTCATGATTTAATTATACTACTTATTTGTTAAACGTAATAAGTAAAGTCTTTCATTGTCTTTCAAGCTCAAGTTAATCATTTTAAAGAAATAATATGAGTATTCAATCATAAAAGTATGACAATATGAATCATTATAAGTATGAGAATATGAATCATTTATATGACAAATATGAATCATTATAAGTTAATGCAAATCTGTAATAAAACCTAGATGTTCTTCATGCTTGTTATTGAAAAGTTTTATTTTCTTCATGTTTGTTGAACTTTCTTCATTCAACATTTTTTAAGTTATTGAATCTCTTTTTTTTAGTTTTAAATTTGTCCTTCAAATACGACACTGTTTTTCATATCTAGTCATATCTGGGTCTTCACAAACTGGCCTAGGGGTTATTAGATATGAGATCATATATCCCATATAATTTACATTTGTGTTTCCATTAGCCATCTCACTAATTATTCTCTTAGTTGGCTTTGTTTGATTATGGTACCTATAAGAATTTTGTTTTAATTTAGTTTATTTTAACTATTAGCGTGCTAACCATATGCTTACCACTCTCTTTTATGGGATGGCGTTGATGCGTTTCATATGTGGCTATAATGTTTATCCCACTAAAAACACACTAAATAAAAGCTAACGCCACGCTTCATTTGAGCGTGAAAGTTTCATGTGGCCCACGTGTGGGGAGCACATGTTAGCCATATATCTACCACTCCCCATTATGGGATGGCATTGATACGTTTCATATGTGGCTTTAATGTTTATCCCACTAAAAACACACTAAATAAGAGCTAACGCCACACTTCGATTGCATGAAAAAATATTTTTATTTCTTCACTCTTCTATCTATCAAACTATTATATCCTATTAGTTTGCCCTATACGTAACCAAATTAACACTATAGAAAACAAAATTATCGAAAGAAGAATAAGAAATAACAAATATGCTGAATATACAAATATACCAAATTGCAATTTATTAACGCAAATTTGTAATTAAAATTTTGACTAAATTGATCCAAAAATACAGGTTGATGTTTTAAAAACATTTTCGCTTGTAGCTTTATAAAATCTTAAAAGCTTACTAACAATTTTAAACTTTTTAAAGATCATTCAATTTATTCAAGAAGGTAATTTTAAAGTAACTTAATTAAACTTGTAAGAATGTACTATGGTAGTTAATTATCAAAAAACTAACTTTACGTAACTTAATTAAACCATAAAACTATATTATGCAAAATATGAAAGTTGTAGTTTCTGATTAAATTTTGTTGCAACTTATTTGGCTTTAGATAAATACATTACAAACAAAAGCTCTGACATATATTTTTTTTAATTTGAAACCTAGCATTTTTTTGGAGGGTATACTTTCCTAGGGGAATTTTTTTTCATGGGTATTTTCCCTTGTAGGTTTTTTCTTGAAACCTATCTTTTTAGTTCAAAATTTAAAATAATGCAGAAAATATAACATGCCTCAATTAAAAAAAGTGTTTGTTTGTTTATCTATACTTATTTTAAGTGACGTATTACTATACAACTTATTTGTGGTTTCGGAAATTAGCGCTATTTTAAAATATAACGTTGTTAAAGTATAACTATAAATTAGTATTCGTTAAGTATAACTCTGATTTACAAATTTTAAAGAAAGTTTATTTAGAACAACAATTCTCTAATATATTCAATACAAAAACTGCTCAAATATTTTTAATTTTTTAATTTTTTTTTCCAAAATTATAAACATTTACATACTTTTTTTATAAATGTTTTATACTTATATATAAGCAGGGCTGTGCCGAACGAAGAAGACTCGGAGGTGGGGGGGGGGGGGGGAAGGGAGGGGGAAGGGTGCAAAGGTAAAATAGTAACTTTACAGACAAATGTTTTTTTATTTTTTTTTTTTTAAAGCCAAATTTCAGTTCTAACTGACAGATCCCCAAATCTTCCAATTTTCCGACAAAAACCAAAAAAGTTTTAAATCTAGGGAAGGGGGAAGTCCACTCCACATACACCCCCGTCGGTACGACCCTGTAAATAAGTTATATAGTCTTAAAGAATATTCTTATAATAATATGCCGTTATATAATTTAAATCACGCATAAAAACACATAAAAAAAAAAGAAAAACATAGTTTAGTAATGATAACAAATTCTATATTACAATAAGTAGAATTCTTAACACACCTAGGCTTTTGTTTTTTATTTTATATATTTACACTTTTTCTTTTATATATATATATCTATTTTTATTGCTCAAACATACTTACAAAGGTTATAAATTGAAAATTATCATAACGGCGTAAGCCACATGATATCATGAAATATTCTAGAGTTTACTACCGCATTGCGATAGAGTTATTACAATTGATTAAAATTTAAAACTCAAATTGAGGCAAAATCGTGAGTTTTATATGCATGGCCCATATGATAGCCACATCAAATTTGGCATGTATTTATTTAAGGATTATACCACATTTAGTGGAATAGTTATGTAAAACCGCATTATGTGTACCACAAGGCGGCCACACTTATCTTCATCAAATACGTCGTTCATTAACTGATATATATTTTTGAACTTTTAATCCACACGAAAGCACTATGACCACATGTAGGCCATATATATTTTTCTTGTCGGGTATTGACAGCTTTTCTATACACCCTCAACATAAATAGTAGTTGTCTGCAAACTTGTTAGAAAAATATTTTATTTTTCAAAAAAACAGAAAAATCAATTTTTCTGTTACATTTCAACACATCCGTTTTTTCACAAACTGATAGTTTTGACTGTCGTGCCAAAATAGTTTTTTTTCACAATCTTAATAGTTTTGTTTACCGCCCAAAAACTTTGCGTTTACACATAAAATTTGAAAATTTCACTTAAAATTCTAGTTTTTATTTTTTTAATGCTTTTAACTAATACAATCTAAATAGTTAGCGTTTTTTTGTGATAAGTTAAAAAGTTATTTTGTTATAATTTTTTACTTTTCACTAAAAATATATGAAGTTTTTACCAAATGGTTCTCTGTGACACAAAGTAATCTACTAAAAAAATTAAATACTGGCAAAAGAAGAAAGAAAATAAATCCTATTGAAAACATAATTATTTCAAATGTAAAAAAAGGGGGTAAAAATATCTAAATTTTATTAAGACAATAAAATATAATTTAATATTTTCTATTTCCTTATATACGAAGGTAATTAACTGGGAATAATTTGAAAATTACAACAAAATGTTGTCTGCATCACCATAATCTTCATTGTTGTGGCTATGCCAAGAAAATTTTATTTGCAATTTTGTTTTACTTGCAATTTAATTTTATATGCCTAAACAATTTTATATTGTTATTAAAAAAACATTTAACTCAAACAAAGCTAACATATTAAATTTGTGTTATATTTTATAAAAATAATCTAAATTCTCATTTTTCACAAATCAAAGTTTTGCGTGTTTCAGGTGTCTAATACCAAGTGGGAAGGATTAAAAATATAGGTAGCATATTTTCGTCCATATCAAAGAAATGTGTAAAATTTTTTAATGAAAAGGAAAAAAGACAATTTTTTTTTAACGTAGTACCAAATACCAAATGTCGATCATGGTGGTGGTTATGTAATAGTTTGAGATTTTTCAGTTGTGATTCTAATACGTTCTTTATTGAATCAAAGTTGAAATGGATCAGAATATGTATTTATATGAAATCATGAAAATGCTTCGCTGACTTGTAGAAAAGACAAATAACTTTACGTTGTCATATGGGGAAAAAAAACACAAGACTGGACAAAAACACAATTTTCTGGCAAGACAAAAATATAAAGTACTGTGCAAATTCTATCATTAATGTTTTTAATTCATAAAAAAGATTAGCGTTCTTAAAGCACAGTGTTAAGTCTTATAGAACATATGAGGAAATATATTTAACGTTACCTAAAAATAAAAATATCAAAACTAATAAAAATGATTTATACATGGTTCTTTCAGATTATCTTGAAAATATCCTCATTGGTGTTATTATTAACTTGGTGGAATCATATTCCTCATTGTTTTCAATCATTGATAAAGTGTGAAACCTGTGTAACATAAAACTAATGTGTTGTGATAAAAAAATATTTAAAAATCAAAAAAATAACTATTTTTTTAATTTTTTAAATTTGTTTATAATGTCTGTAACAGTTACGTTTTTATTGAATCTTAAAAATTAACTTTGAAAGCTATTATTTTTTTGGAGTTAGTTTCACTATATAGTTACATAAGAGATTATTAGCAAAAATTGTTGAGAAGGCTGTTGAGAAACTTGCAAAGAAACATGCTTGAGAAACATGTTGAGAAAAAAGCTGTTTAAAAACATTTATATGTATATAAAAAAGTATACATTAATCAAAAACTTCGTGGTAAAAAATTAACCACAAAAATTTTTAACTTTAAGATCATTTAACAAATGCAATCATTGTATTTTTTTAAATATAGATTCTGCTGATCCATCAGAACTCAATGATTTTACTGAAGAAATGAATCTGATGAAAGAAATACGATATCATAAGAATATTGTAAATTTGATTGGCTGTTCAACACTTAAGAAACCATTTTGTTTAGTTGTTGAGTATATGGAGCATGGAGATTTACTGAATTTCTTGCGAAAGAGACGAAGCAATGTAAGTTATAAAAGCATTATAGTGACCAGTAAAAACAAGGTAATGGTTCTTAATTTCTGAATAAAAAACAGTTATTTATTAATCCAAATAAAAGAAATAGAAATAAAAGAAACACAAAAAACTCTAATAAATTTTATTAAAGGTAATTTTTAGACACAACACAAACAGGTTTTTTTTTGGCAAGTATTATGTGACACGAGCTGTAAACAAGAATAAGAGAAATCTTAAACACCATAATAAATAAATTTAATATTTGTTTATGTTATAACATGTATAGCTTTGATACCTTATACTAACCCAAACCCTAAGGATGAGAATAAAACTATGACTGATAAACTTTCTTCCCTAACTGAGGCAAATGGCAAGCTCATTTTAATATACAAAAATCATCATACTCTATTATTTACAAAATTTACAAAAAATTACTACTTGTAGTAATATTATTTTATAATGTTACTAAAAATAACGTTGTAGTAATAAAATTGTAAATAAAAAAACGTTGTAGTAATTAAAATTTAATTAAATATTAAACTTTCACCTTGCATATATATATATATATATATATATATATATATATATATATATATATATATATATATATATATATATATATATATATATATATATATATATATATATATATATATATATATATATATATATATTTATATATATATATATATATATATATATATATATATATATATATATATATATATATATATATATATATATATATATATATATATATATATATATATATATATATATATATATATATATATATGTAATTATAAATATAAGAAAATTCAGTAACAAAAAAAAAGTAGAATATCTCAAATTTTCTAATTTCTGTGTTAAAACAATGTTAATGATTTAAGAAAAAAACTATTATAACCACACATTGTGTGTTGTTTTATTTATTTGCAAAACTTTTTAACTTTTTGATCTCTAATATTTAAACAAACTTTGTCTGGTGAGATCCAATTTCTTTAGACCCTTGAAAAAACAATTCAAAAAGATGAAAACAACTGTGTTGATTGGTAATACTTGTAAATCGAAAGATAAAACTGAATACAAATATAAAAATTTAGAAATGTATCTAACGCAATGGAATTGCATCTCAGCATTGGGTAATAAAAAAAAAAGAATAAGCATATCTGACATATTTAAATAGATCCTCAGTAGGGTGACATAATCAATGACAAGTAACTAACGCAGTAAACTCAGATGCATTGGTAACACAGGTACCAGATATGGATATACTTGGTGAAAGTTTATGCTGGCATTAACCCGAAATGTAATATATGGCAGCATTTTCTCCTTTAAAATTTGCATTAATTAAAAAGACAGACGTATCAAGATAACTAATATCATCCTCATTCAGATACAACACTCTGATTGAATAATTGAGGATTGAGAAATACGTACACCCATAGCATCTAATTTACTAAGCAACTTGAGGCGTTTTCTTGCGAAGAAAATTGCACAAAAGAAAAAAAAAACTAAATTAAAATTATTCGTTTTAAAAAATGTTTTACAAAGAATTTCTTCTAACAATTTTTTTTTAAATTGCGTTTTTCTTGAAATACGTAATAAACTTATACATATCGTTTTAAAAAAACGTTTTACAAAAAGTTTCTTAAAACAATTTTTTTTTTTAATTGCGTTTCTATTGAAATACGTAATAAATTCGCATTTGAAGGCGTTAAAAACTGTTGCAGCATATATTTATAGTAAAAAAGTAAATGTTGCAAAGTAAACTCTAATTGTCAAAAGAAAGTTGTAAAGTTTTAACTAGATACGGGCTTTTTTTTTTTGCCTTCACAACAACACCTTCTGGAGTAGCAGGGTTATCTTGTTATGTTTTTTCTTCATTAAGTTTACAGACAACTTTTTTTTCAGACAATTCGCAGCTTATTAGGATTAATTACCTGAACACATTAATAACATAAAAGTCTCAATCATCATACATGCAACACATTAATAACATAAAAGTCTCAATCATCATACATGCAACACATTAATTACATAAAAGTCTCAATCATCATACATGCAACACATTAATAACATAAAAGTCTCAATCATCATACATGCAACAAACTTTTTTTTCAGTTGATGATTTATGATATTTATGCTTTCTTAAAATCTTTTCTCTGTATAATTATGTTACACATGTTTTTATATAATCTTTATAAAACTTCAAAACTATTTTGTATTTTAAAATAATCGCAAGAAATTAAAAAAAAAGGCCGCTATTAGTAGGAATCGAACCACGGCTTACATGTTGATGCTCGGCGCCTTGTCCACTCGGCCACAGTGGCACATACTTTTAAAATAATATTTTTAAAATAATCTAGTGATTCTTTTGATTAAAAAATATTATAGATCAAAATTAAGGAGAGCTTGACACAATTCAATTTTCAAGTGAAAATCAAACTGTAAAACTTGATAAATGTTTCAGTATGTTTTAACATATGATTTAACACTTAATTTAAAGTTTATGTACGTTAGATATTTAAATACGGGTTCGTTCACGTTTTCTTATAAAACAAAGTACTGCGACTTTTTCTCGCCATTAACTTGCATGGCTTCCAAGGGTACCATGTCAAACAGGTTAGATAATGCATTACTATTAAGTTCAGCAATAATATATAACAGATTAGTGAATAAGTTTTAAATAATATGTTATAAAATAGAATTATTAAATTATTTTTATAATTTGCATTTTATTAAAAAGTCATAAATATCATTAAACAAATAAGCTCTGCCTTTTAAACATTGCAACCTATCATTATAAATAGTTCGTATAATTTCTTTAATAGTCTTGAAAATGTTTTCATATTGTCTCAAAAAAAAAATTATTTTTTAATTTTACTTCTAACTATGATTAATAGGGTCGTTGATGCGTCATACTCATGCATGTTCTAGTTTTGATTTAGTACACGGTTTTTCCTATGTATTTATAAAGCCAAAGTTAAATCTTATTTTTTTTTTTTTTTTTTTTTGTGAAAAACAGCTCTTGCTACCCGAAAACGTTTTCTTTTCTGAAAATATTGTGTTTTTTTTACTTAAATGCTGTCTATTTATGTTACAAATGTACAAAATGACTATTTATAATATTGATCAATCCTATGCTTTATTTATTTAAAAAAATATTCTGTTATGTTAAAATATCATTTGTTTTTCAAACTATTATTTTGTGTATAAGTGCTTGTTAATATTCAAATATACATTATAAATATGATGATAGCTATTATAGACTTATTTTCAAATCAATTGCTTTTATTCCTGCTAATTTATTTTTCAGATTCATAATATATTTCAAACAGAATAATGGCAAAAATCCGAAAATCCATCAACACTAAGCTTAGTAAATATCTTGGAGGTCCAAATAAGTTTCTTTGAACTGAATTTCTAACGTTACATAATGGTTTGCAGCAATGTCTTGATCTACGAAGAGAAAAAAACACTAGTTCATGAAAAAAAATCCACGTAATTTATCAACGCAAGAAATTTTATTTAATGTTGCCCATGAAATTGCAGAACGACGGTATATTTCTAACACAGAGTTTAAAGATTATATAATTTGCGGTACTAAAGCTATAGAACCAAGATTCAGTAGAGGTTGGTCTGCATTCTCTAAGATAGCTCGACACAAAACCCAAAAGACTAAAAAAGGTGGTACCCCAAGAAGACACAAAACCTAAAAGGGTTAAAGATGGTACCCCAAGAAATATTTTAAAATTGGATTGGAGAAAGAGCACACTTTATTTTTTACAATATAAATACATAGTTTAAAATAAATGTCAAAAATACTATCAAACTTAAAAATCTTTACCTCGATTAATCCAAAAAAATTGAAAATAACTGAAATATTGTGAAGTAATTACTCAAAATTTGTCCTTTTAGCGTGTCTTTTTAGCGTGAAAATTGGAACATTTTTTATTCGTGGTATCATGAATTATGATACAACGAGAGAAAAGAAATAAAAGCAAATGAATATTTTAGAAATTATGCATGAAACACTAAGAAGTAAGCAAGCTAAACAACTCTAATATAGCAAAATTTCAAGATCTAAAATGCATTGAAAAAAAATCTTTTCTAATTTGATTTTTAACTATATAAAGAATAATCTGTGAAAATTTCCGAATTTTTGCATAATTATTTAAAAATATATCATTTCGCAAACTTTGAAAACTAGTGAAAAGATATATTTTGAGATTTTGTGATATAAAAATTTAAGTTACGCAAAAAGCATAAAAAAGTATATATTTCTGAAATAAATATAATATATATTTCTGGAATTAATACATTAAAAAAAAAACCTCCACATTCAAATAATATTATTTTAGTTTTCTTAACTTTATTTGAGTATCTTATTTTTAAATACTTTTGAATTGTTTACGTCTCTTTATTTCTTGGGGTACCACCCCAAGAATATCGGGAATCTAAACTTGATTAACTTTTTGACATTGCTATTTGCAAATGCAAATTTGTTTACTGAGGTGAGAATGATGCCCCTTGCAAAGAAACTTTCAAAAAAAGTGCTCACTGTCTTTGCAAATGTGACTTAAATTTAAGAATTCCACAAAAAGAGGTTGTTAGGATTAAAACCCAGCAAGAATAACAAGGTAGTGTTTCATCTATGCAAGAGTTTCGCCTAGATGTTTAAGGTGTTTAACTGCCAAGCTTAGGTTCAAAAACTTTCGTAAGTCAATTTATCATGCAAGGCTCAATCGACAACAGAAGAGTCAGAGAATATTTTTTTCATCTACTATTAGATTTGACGCAAAAAATATGGATGTTGCAGCAGAAATGAACAATAATTCTAATGTTGATATAGTCAGTGATAACTATAAAGTCAGTGATAGCGAAGAAGACTCAACATTAGAAAAACAAGAAAATTATCTTAAAGGAAATTACTTTTATATTAGTAATGCTGCCATTGCCTCTGTCAGATTTGGTGTGTGATTGACTGCTACTCTGCTATCATTAATGGTCTTCTGAAAGATATCATGAAAGCAGGCAAACTTGTTTAAAACAAAAATCTAATTTTGCATGAAAATTTTCCTTGCAAAAGAGCGTGCTATGAAGTGTTCTAGAGTAGAAAAAAATATAGGCTGGGAAAGAAATATAATCACTGGAATTTTTGTTGATGGTAGAAAAGATAAAACTTTAATCCTGATGCACGTAAAGACCGCAGGCACCTTTAGAAAAAAAATTAATAAAGAATATCATATAACTGTGACAGAGGAGTCCAGTGGTCGCTATCTTATTCATTATACACCAGAGCCTAAATCTAAATTATGTAAACCAGCCAAACAACATGCTAATGGATTATTCAACTTGTTAATGGAAAGAGGTAAAGATATTAATCTCAAACTAATTGGTAGTGATACTACAAATGAAATGTCTGGGTAGAAAGGTGGAATGCCTCATTTTGTGGAGAAACTTATCCATCAAAAACTTTTAAAATCATTTTGTTGGCTTCACATAAAAGTTTTTATTTTGTCATATTGTGAAAAAACTTGACAAGCCAACTTCTTTAGGAAAAGGATGGTGTGGGGCAGTTTGTAAACAGTTTTCTAAAATTTATAATCTTGCACGAATTACTTAATTTACGCCGATTCCTCATAAAATACACAAAATTTCATTTAAAATGTCAAAATACTATAATTGCAAAAACAATTTAAAAAAAAATAATAAAAAAAAACCTATGAATTTTAAAAAGCTTGAAAATAAAGCAACCAATTAACAAATAAAGAAATATTAAGCAAATAATATCAAATTGATAATTAAAACAATTCCATTTTCTTTGCTAAACTTTAGAAAACTTTTGAATGCATAATATGTTTTTAAAAAATGGCTTTTTTATTTATGTTTATATAAACAACAATCGTAATATAATAAAATTAACAAATATTGACAAGGGGTGGCCAGGACCCATACCTGTTTTTTATACATGCCTGGCATAGTATTCTTGGGGGGGGGGGGGTCATTGATAATTTGTTCTGTTTTATTACTTGTATTTGATTTTTAGCTTGTAAAATTTTACTTTGTTTAAATATTTGTCTAAATTATTTTAAAATATAAACCTTTATATAAAAAAATTAATTTTTAATAAAATCGTAATTTTAAAACCCGTTTCCCGGTAGTTAAACATTAACATTTTACAAAAATATTATTAAAATTGAATTCTTCATACCCAAATACATAGGAATCCAAGAGTGCTAGTCTAAACTTTGAAAATTTAAATTTGACAAAAGTATGATATACATTAATGGTGAACTAATCTTATTAACTTTTTTTTTCCTTCGATAACATTTATTGTTGATAAAATTTAATCTTTGATAACATTTATTGTTGATAAAATTGGGAAATATCGTTATATTTTTGTATACCGTATTTGTTTTTTTTTCAGTTTTGTACATTTAATATTGATGGAAAATCGTCTGTAAACTTTATGCATACACAAGGGTATCAAAAATCTCTGAAGGTATAATTATTTTATTTAATAAATTTATGATATTAAATTTATTTGTTCATTCATTTATTCATCATTTATTTAAGACAACAACAGTAACAACAGGTGATTCATCTTTGTGTGTTAAGTCGAATGAAACTCCATTGAAAGATGATGAGATGTTAACGCCAGACGATTTGCTTAGTTTTGCTTGGCAAGTGGCATCTGGAATGGTATTGTTTAAATGCTTTTGTTATACTCTTAATAATAATTTGTTGCATCATGGTTTTTGGGTATTTTTAGGAATTTCTTTCATGTTCCAAATTGGTTCATCGAGATCTTGCTGCAAGAAATATTTTAGTCGGGTCAGGAAAAATTGTAAAAATATCTGATTTTGGTCTAACTCGAAAAACAAATGATGAATTAACCTACATGAGCAAGAAAAAGCGTCGGTTACCGGTCAAGTGGATGTCTGTTGAAGCCATATTCGACCAGATGTTTACATCATTCAGCGATGTGTAACTTAATTCAATATATCTTTTTCATGTTTTACGTGAATTTTATTTAATCCTGCAAGCTATTTCAACTAAAGCTTTATGATTATTGTTCAAAATTTTATTATTGTTATTTTATTTTTTTTAATTAGCATTTTGTATGTTTTAGGTGGTCGTACGGCGTTGTATTATTTGAAATTGTAACTTTAGGTAAAAATAATAATGCTTATTTTGAAACTCAATACAGCAAATTCTTTTTAATTTTTTCAAATTTTTTGTAGGAGGTACACCTTATCCTGCTATAAGTAACCGTGAACTTCTCTCTCTTTTGAAATCTGGTTATCGAATGGATAAACCTGAAAACTGTTCTGAAAAAATGTAATTTTTTATTATTCTATGCCTTAATTTACTCTCCATTGCTGTTTATTTTTAAATAATTATTTAATACAATTTTAGGTTTGATGTTATGTTACAGTGTTGGCATGAGGATCCATTACAACGCCCTACCTTTTCAACACTACGTGAGTATTTTGATAAAGTAATATCTCAAGTTGGCAGTTATCTCAACTTTGAACTCAACGAAAATACTACACCGTCATTTTTACCCTATGAAATAGACAACCATGACGATAATACAATAGAAGACGGAGTTTTACAAAATCCTGTGCGGCTAAAGTCAATTGAAGAAATAAAAAAAATAGATGATTTTATTCTTCCATTGTACGATAGATATACAAGTGTTAAATAAAATCCAACAACCAACAATTCATATAATGATCGAAATATAAAATCTCATATTAGCTTTAGAACTTTGAAACATACAGTCTTTGCTAAAGTACAAAATTATGTGCGGCTATTAAAGTACGGACCTTGTATAGCGTGGCGTTGTATGCTGCGTTTTATCAGAAAAGTCATAAATAGCAATTTTGACAATTATATTTAAATTCAAAAATTATCTGAACTGGATTTAAAAAAATTCTTTAAAATGTATTTTTTTTGTTATAACTGTTTAGCATAATGTATAAATCTATATCAATATGTATTTTCTCAGTGTTTTGATCATCATTATAAATGTAAAAAATATTTTTTTAAGAAGAAGAAAATGTTTCTTAAAAAAAAATGTATTTTTATTATTTTTTATTTCATGATAAAAAAAAATTGAACACAAACTGAATGTAATTTACTGATTAATGTGAAAAAAAAAATGTTCTTATTTTTTTCTCTGTTTTTGTTTAAAGACAACAATGTTATCTGCAACAATGGAATCACAGACTCTCTTTCTGATGTTATTAAAATAAATATTTTAAATAATAATGTGTATAATTTCTTTTCCACAATTTTGGTGATTTAAACATAAAAAAGGTTGGTAACCTTCTCTACTGCCAAGAACTAACTTTGCTGCTTTACGGTGTTGCACTCGAGACTGATAAATAACATCAAATACATGATCCAGCATAGCAAAACTATCACAGACATATTCTAAAAGGGGTAATGATGGAGTTGTTAGCCCACCTCTGGACAATATATTTAAATAATTATAATCATTCAACTCCTGTTGACAATGTTGAGTACAAAGCAATTTGCAACATATTTTAAACTTCTTATTCAGTTTTTTGGCAATAAAACCAGCAATATAACTAGCAACTTCACGAGAATCATCTGATAAAGTCACACAATCTAAATCTCTTTCTTTGATCTGATTCATCAAGGATCTAGCATGTTTTGTATCTTCTACAGCATTAATATCATTTTCGAAAATTTCAATTTCTTCCTTTACTAAACTTTTTATTTGGATTATCTTCTCACTATAAATAACATCTTTCAAACTGACAAGGAACCTGCCACCACTCATTTGGCGGTATTGTCCAAATCTTCTTTCTAACGGATTACTTTGAAAACGAGCAGTCAATATAAATTTATAATTATCTTTTAACAGATCTTCTATTAATAAAGCATGACATAATAAAGTTCTTTGTAGTGCTGATAACGTTTGAGGAGATAGTGTATATTTCTCAAAATTTGGAATTTTTGTGTTTTTCCATTTATTTAACCAGTCAGTGAAAGCTCAAAAAACCTCAGGTTTTTTATCATTAATTATAGCAGCATTTCCAAGGCAGTTGTTAGAAAACTGATTTTTTGAATTTGTAATTATCCACCATTTATTAAAAAGAGTTAAGAAAGATGCAATATCTAAACGGTCGGGAAAATATGATTTTATTGCTGCTGCTGTAGTTTCATGGAAGATACCTAAAGCAATAGTGACATTTTGCTTGTAGTTTCCAGGATGGACAACTTTGCTATTTATATTTGGTGCTTTTTTTAAACTTGCATCCAACAGGCTGTCCTTTTCTAATAAATCATGAAATATTTTCCATGATATTTCTCCTGGTTGAACATGAATTTCATCTTTAAAACCTGAAAAATGAAATTCTGGAAAAATAAACCTTTTTTTATTTAGTAAGTTGTTTCGAATGTTTTTAACCAGATGCACTGTGTCAAAGAATAGGTAAATTTTTTGCGATTGTACATTAATAAACAAATCATCAGGTTTTTTACCATGTGCATTAAGCAACTTTGTAAAAGAGGAAACATTTGAAGCATGATTGTCACAAACAACACCTCGAACATTAAAACTATTTTTTATTAAAGATTGAATCAGGTTAAGAATTTCAGTCTTTAACCAATCACTGTTTAATTTTATAATTGGAACTGCTTTGACGACACAAGAGATATTTTCTTTTAAACCAACTAACATGAAGGAAACAATGCTTCTATAACATTCATTTTCCTCACTAATCCCAATTATATCTCCGCCAGAATATTCAGCACATTTTTGCAAATACATTTCATCAAAAATTATTAAAAGATCTTTTGATAAGCTCCCATTTTCATGTAACAACTTTAAAACTTTCATAGAATCAATATCACCTGCTTCAAGCTTGCCTAACAGTGATATAGATGGAAGTGGGAATTCCTTCAGCAGTAAATTATATGTTTGCAATGATGTGTAACGCAGCATCTAGGCAAATTGAAGCATATTTGAACAATAAATTTGATTTTTTTTTACTTGGTGACTTTAAAGTTCTTCAAGAATAGAAGACAGCTTCTCTTTTTCGATGCTAAAATGTGAATTGAAGTTTTCCAGCATACTCCTTCTCTTTAACACACATTAGTGGGTTACTCTAAACCAAGGTGGTAAAGAAACTGGAAGATTTTTATAAAAAAGTTTAACGTGAAGATTTTTGTCAATACGAATACATTCAGCAACTTGAGGTATGTGAAGTTCATTTTGAATAATTTTATGGAACACAACACAATCATCAAATTTGGAAAATCAATACCCTGTTGGTGAACCAGCTGTAAGAGAATTAAGATCTTCAATAACATCATTTGATAAAAATTTCTGATATTCATTTTCTTGAAAAATTCTTATAGTTGGTGATTTTCTTGGTACAGACATAACTGGAAGTGAAGCCGTTGCTATGCTAGCCGGATATATTGTAGGAACAGGCTTCAAATTATACAACAAACAAATTCGTTTTGCTGATGCTCCTTTGTGTATTAAATTTTCATCAAAATGTTTTAAACAGATCACAGATGATTTAGTGACAGTCCAGAAATTTCTGTTTACAAATCTAACCCATAACTTTCTTAAGCCATCATCTTTTGGAAAACCAAAAACTGGGACTACTTCACCACCATTATAATTAGAGGTACAACCTACAACACAGCATTTATTAACTATTATTATTATTAATAATTAAAAAGTAGTCACAAATAACAATACAGTTTGGCATTAATCTAACGCAAAAACTTTTATCCAGAATTACTTACTTAACATTTATAGCGCAATATTTAAAATATATTGAGAGAGTCTGTCAATATAATAAATATACGTTATTTCAACTGGCCTTCTATTTTTTTTCGATTTAAGCAGATTAGAAGGCCGTGTATTTAAGTAGGCCATGAAATGTCGTGATAAGCAAAAATTAACTCTTAATTCAGGGGTCAAACATAAAAATGCTTTACGTTACATTGCAATATTAAGAACAATATTTTCAAAATTATTGTAAATGTAAAAATTTTTGCAATTTTCTCTTTTCAACTTTTTCAATGTTTTTTGCAATATTTGTGACTTCTTGAAATATTTTCAAATTGTTTTTTTAATGAAACTTTTGCAGTATTTTTAGGGTAGCCACAACCTCTATGAAATTCATCCTCTAAAGTCCTCTCTTGCCAAAACTCTCTCAAGTTCTCTATAATCCTCTAAAAGCTGAAATGTGTTCGAAAATCTTCTTTTTAACTTGCCTTTATTTGCAGATTTACAAAACCGTAAAAAATTATTGCTATACTTATAATTAGTATATTTTTATATTATTTACAGGAGTTGAATAATTTACAAGTATAACTTATAAATTAAGAAGAAACTTTCTGGTAATGTTATTTAAGGAAGCATTATCTTCATAACTTCGTTTTCAAAGTTATATTACTGATGTAGCGCAATTTTAATTATAAAACTTGAAAGTAATTTTTCTTTAAAACAAAAAAAAAAAACAAAAAAAAATTATTTTGAATAGTCTAAGTTTGTCCAAGAACAGTCCAAGAATAGTCCAATTCCAAGGGAAAGTCTAAAGTTTAGTCCAAGAATTGTCTAAGTCTTAGAGAAAAGTCTTAAAAGAAAAATCCAAGAATAGTCCAAGTCCAAGGAAATATTAAGTTCTTATACATTTTTTTTTTTTTAACTGAAACTTATGCACTTTTCTCATCAAAAATTTGTATTAATTGCAACTATTTGTACAAATTGAAATTTGATTAGTTTTATTAAAGTAAAGTCGTTTTATAACCACATTTAATGTTATACTTATTTTACTTTTAGGACCTATAAAAAATATAATTTAATAACACAAATGCCTTAAAAAAAACTTAAAATTACAACTTTAACAAAGTTTTATGAAAAGTATCATACATCAATAAGTACGCTTTCCGTAAGACGCCCACTGGACAGTACAACTCTGTCTGCGGTTTAAATGGTACCTCTTCCGTCGTCCGTCTCTAGACGTCTTACGGACGTTAGTTTTTACACAGTTTACACAGAAAAAAGTCCGTTAAACGTCTTTTTGGAGGTTTCAATTATACCGTCCGTTAATTAAATATTAAATGGTATTGATCAGCTGATGTTAAAAGTTTGCGGCAGCCATGCTGTATGGCAATAAACCAAGCTTTTAGAGCTATATCGTAATTAACATAACAGTATATTTTAAGCCTTTTATTGCTTATATTTGAATAAATTTATGTATAATATAATTCTTTATCTAATGATATAATCAATTTATTTGTGTTTTAATTATAACATAAGTGCTAAACTCTTTAAAATCAAATGGTTTTTTAAACTACTTATTAAAGTTATATATCAAATTATATTTTTTTTACAAGAAAATAAAAATTCCATTTCTTTAAAGTCTCTTTTATCACTGAAATGATATTTCTTTTTGCAACTCTTTTTGGTTTTTTTTTTTCTTTAATTTTAGTAACTCTAATATATCATTTTAAGATATATAACTTTTACCACAAATATATAGCATAATATTTAAAAACTTTTTTTTCTACACTCTAGATAACTTAAATAATAATATTTAAAAAAAAATACAAAACTTTTTCTTATTTTATTTTATATAATTGTTCAGGGTTTAGAGTACCTTTTTTTAGCATTTTGAAAAAAAATAAAATTATTTGCACAATAAGTCAAATTAGAGAAGTTATTCAAAAAGAACTGAAATTTTTAAATTTTCTATATTAAGCTTTTCTATAGAGTTTTAAAGATTGTTAACATAATTTAAAAGTACTCCCAAGAAGAGAATTTCTCTGTTTTTATTTCATCATTGTCATATTTATTTAAATTCATCTATAAAAGGAAGTGGGCCCACTATTTAAAAACAAGATAAAGAAAAAAACGCAGCACTCCTAGACAACATTTTTTTGTGTGTTAAGCAAAACCAGAATTACATCGCCTACCCTAAATACATCGCCTTCTCCACCCTGTGTAATTAGAAGAGACAATTTTTTATAAGACCCTCTTTTTCCATGCAAAAGAG